CTTAGCCAAAGAAACTCCATTTTGAAAATCAGCATCTGCCCACCCAGAAATGACTTTCCCATTAGGACCACTCCCAAAGACTCCCTAACTACCAAAACCACAGCAAAGGTGCCAAATAACAGTCCTAGGACCCAATGGGTTATGTTTTTAACTATCCCCTAGTACATGACTATATAGTTAAGAAGTTTTTTCCAGCAAGCTGATGTGCCTTACAGAAGGGCAGTCTGGCAGATATTCTCTGTCAACAAATCTTTGCTTGAATTCAGAGATGTGTCTCTTGTAGATATTTGCACTAGCAACCCTAACAACACCGATGTGTATAAATATATCTATGTGTGCATACATAATATATACTTGGAAATGTTCATGATACACAAGATGAAATTATTAAGGTATATGTATTTTATGAAGAAAAGGTGAAAGTTTAGTCAATTTTAATAAATAAAAATTATGCTAGAGTTGGTGGGAAGAAGAATATCAATGGTCTGGAGGGAATTCATTGGAATATAACTATACAAAAAGAAAAAGAAATACTAATCTTTGGATTGGGTTATTATTTATTATGAAACATGTAGAGTCGTGTAGGCCATAAATCATCCAACTTTATATTTTTTTAAGTGTTGAATACTGAAACAATCTTCTATGGCTTACTCATATCCATTATTCTCTCACCTGACTGTATAAGAAGATCATTTGGGGGAGCTAATTTAAATAAATATCAATGACTATATCCATAGATTCACATTTAATTGGGGTTGGTGGGGCCTGGGCATTGATATTTTTAATCCATCTGTTTTTTTTTTTTTTTTGATACAGAGGATTGAACCCTGTACCCAGGGGCACCCCACCACTGAGTCACATCCCCAGGTCTTTTGTATTTACCTTAAAAATTTTTGAGGCAGGTTCTCACTAAGTTACTTAGGACCACATTAAGTTGCTGAGGCTGGCTTTGAATTTATAATCCTCCTACCTCAGGCTCCCCAGTCACTGGGATTATAGGCATGCACCACCATGCCCGGCTAAGGAATCTTTTTGAGATGCCCTTTGCTTCCATCTATGAAAAAGTAGTTCTGTAGACAAACTGAGAACTATTTAAACTGTGTATAAGACAAAAATAGCCTTCAGTATTTGACGTCATTTTTGAACAATTAAAGCAACTAAGACTTAAGAAAAGTTCTAAAAAGATGAGGAGTACATCCAGGCAAGAAGTTGAGGCTTTTGTTGCTTTGTTTGGGGTATGTATTTTATTTTGGTATATTTTTGTTTTTTGTTTTATTACTCTGTTGGCATTTGCCAATTCATGTTAGGACATAGCATCCAAATGAAAGTTAGTCATCTAGTCCTACAGCCATTCCTCTGGGTTGCAAATCGAAAACAAAAACAAAATAGAAATAAAAATCACATAGAAGAGAGCCCAAAATGAGTGCCATTTACTAATTAAGGCATTTATTAATTCTTAAATGGTGCTTGAGATTAAGGCAAGGTATGGAGAGAGATGGAGTTGGAAGTAGTGCTAGAAATCAGCTGAGAGACTAAAAAGCTAAAGAGAAACTTGGACAGCTTCATGGCATGGGAGAGACTGAAATTGGAGTGGGACCTACTAAAGAAGTCACGTCAGTTTAAGTGTCTTATAGGCTTTTAGTTGAGACCTCCAAAAAAGCAAAGTCCTAGGGCTAAGGACAATCAGAAAGTATATGAGCTCTCATAGAACTTAAATAATGGTGATTGCAGGTTAGATCAAGATAATCTGTCTGTATTCTATTTAACTGCCAGGATAATATTAGATTCACACTGGAGGAAGATAAAATCTCCCAAAGCCACATACTATTTTTCATGGATAATATCTGGCATATGAATTAATAGACATGCCAGGAAACTAGACCAAATGACTAAAAGACAAGAGAAGAAAAAAATAGAAATAGACACTAGGTGAGCATGAAGTCTTCAGACATAGGTTTTAAAACAGTAACAATTAATGTCTCAAGAAGAAGGTTATTAGTTCCTGTGAACTAAAATATTTGGGAAAGAATCAAATGGAAATTCTAGAACCACGGATATAATAATAAAATGAAGATTTTGATAGATGAGTATAACAGAAGATTAGACAACCAGAGGAAAGAAGTTGGAAAGTAGTCAGTAGAAAACATGTAAATTGAAACATATACAAATAAAAAATAAACATTGGAGAATAAAGGATAATAAAACTAAAATGGAATATGGTAAAAATGTCTAACATGTAATTGCTACCAAAGTGAAGAGAGAATGAAGCAGAAGACATGCCTGAAGAAAAGTTGTCCAAGGATTGTCT